CAAAAGATAAACTTTGCAAGGAGATCAGAGGTGAATATAAGGAGTTGGAGGAATTAAAGATTACTCTGAGGCTTGTAGCTAATAAATAGCCTACTACATGCCAGATATTGTGCAGAGTATTTTTTAATTCAGTGTCTTCAATTCTTATAACAGTCCTGTGATACAAGTGTTGCTATTTTTTCACCGATTAAAAATCTGGCTTGGAATGGTTTAGTGACCTGTCTAAGGTTACCTGTTCAACAGCTGAGAGCTGGGGTTTGAGCCAGGTCTGGCTAGCTCAGAAGTCTGTACTGCTCTTTCCTGTGTATCACATTGTTTTGAGCTTATGGTACTGGAAGAATGTACTGTCATTAGAAGAACTAAAACTTACTGGAACGAGGAAGTATTTGGAATCATTCAGTGACCATGAGATACCCTAGAAAGAGGTATCCTTTAGGAAGTTGCACTGTCTGCTGCTAGATGCAAAGCAGAAAGGTTAGGGTTAGAGTGACAGGTTTGGGAGTAATCTGATGATAGGTAATGATTGAAGCTGTTTAAGTAGATGGATCCATTAAGGGATTGTTGAGAACCTTGGGAAACACTTTCGGGTTCCATGTAGGATGAAGACTCGGTGCCAGCAAAGCAGAAAGGGAGAATGAGCTAGATAGAGAAAAGTACGTTTTCATGTAAATCATGGGAAGAACTAAGAGTTTATAAAATAAGAAAATGACCAATGATATTAATCATTTATTTAACAAATAAGGAGCTCTGGTCGAGGCATTTGGCTGCTAACCAAAAGGTTGGTGGTTTGAACTCATCAACTGCCTTGTGGAAGAAAGATGAAGCAGTCTCCTTTTGTACAGAGTTACAGCCTTGGATATGCAATGGGAGTTGTTAAGAGTTGGAATTGACTCCATGTCAGTGAGTTTGTTTTTTATGTAACAAATACTTACAGAGCACTTAGGATATGCCATAACACTGCATGGTGCTGGTGATGGAGCAGTGATTCAAGCAGACAGGATTTCCTGCCCTCACAGATTACATATTGGTGGAGAAGTTACAGTAAAACATGTGAAAACTGGACCCTGTCTCAGATATTTTCCACTAGTAGAGAGAGAAAGTGGTAAGACCGCACCCTGTGTGGAAAACTTGCAAGGGTTGGGCAAACAAGGCAATTCTGTTGAGTTCTTGCTCTCACAGTTTTCACTATAATAAATGAATAAATGAAAATATTTCATGTAGGAAACTCATAGGTCAATGTCGGAAAATGTCAGGGGGTATGAAAACCTATTTTAAATGGGAGTATAAATGTCTCCTGCTTTTTGAAAGTTTGCTTTATGGCACCTGTCTTTTACAAAAGGCCTACATTAGTACCTGTTTTTTCTAACTGAAAGAAATCCGAAGAGGATTTTCACTTTTACCAAAAAAGACTAAAAGTGAAAGTAGTGCTCAGTGTTTGTTTTGCAGTGCTGAGCCATCAAAGAGGCAGCAAGAGTGACGTCACCATATCAATTAATGGTAATTTTGTCTTCATTTTGCTCCAGGTTGGTTTTATAGAAAGGTTTTATAGAACACTCTACTTTTTGATACAGGGGAAACCTATATTAAGAAAGTTAAAACATGAAGGAGGAGAAGTCAACCAGAGAAGAGCCTGGGAAAAGAGCATTTCAGACAAAAAGAGCAACAATTACAAAGATTCTGAGGGAGTGAACAGCTTGTATTGTTGAGGAATTGAAAGAAGGTCAGTGTGGCTAACATTGAATGACCATAGGGAACACTGATGGCAGATGAGATTAGAGAGTTTGTCATAAGTTAGTTAAGGGAGCTATTGAAAATATTGTGTAGAGAATGCACTGTCTGAATCAAACCAAACTCGTTGTTGAGTTGATTCCAACTTTAGTGACACTATGGGATAAAATAGAACTGCTTCATAGGGGTTTTCAAGGCTATAATCTTTACAAATGCAGTCTGCCACATATATCTCTCATGGAGTGCCTGGTGGGTTTGAACTACCAAACTTTTTTAGCAGCCGAATATTTGCTGAACCACCACTGTGCCACCAGGGCTCTCTTAATGCACTGTAAGGGGCAAGAAAGGAAGCAAGCAGACAAGTTAGGCATTAAGTGCTGTGGCAAGTGACTGAGAATTAATAAAAAATGTATATTGTGTATTTGGAGTAAAAATGTCTATAGAGTTCTCCTTATCAATGTTTCAGTGACGTTTATTTCTACATTCTGGTACTTTCATTGTCATTTTCCAGAGAATGACAGAATAGATTCTGAGGTTTTTTTTTTTTTTTTCTTTTTTTTTCCTCCTTCTTTTTGTACTTGAAATAATTAACTGTTTAGGAAGGAAATTTCATGCTACTGGACATTGGTGGCACTTTTGCCTTACTCCAGTAAAACAGGTAGAACTTAATGGGAATATATTCTTTTGAATCATTGTTGAGTTAATTTGTTTCTATTACTAGTTCTGTTCATTTATACATTGCTAGCACTAGCAATATTAGACAAATATAGTCAGTGTCCAAATAATAATTTTTTAAATAACATTTTGTTTAAAATCTTTTTTTTTTTTTTTTTTTGAGTCTTCAGTATGGAAAATTTCACACCTATACTAAAGCAGAGAGCATAAGAAACCCCCATGTATATCCACCATTCATTGGTGACAGCAGTCAACTAATCTTTTACCTATCATTCTGAACACATTTATTTTGAAGCAAAATCCAGACATACTATTTTACCTGTAAATATCTCCATATGTATATCTAAAAGGTAAGGATTTTCCCTCATTTTATTGTTTTGTTTTATTCCCTCTTAAACCAAAAACCAGAAAAACCAAACTCGCTGCCATCAAGTTGTTTCTAACCCATAGTTACCCCTGTAGGGTTTCCAAGGCTGGAAATCTTCATGGAAGCAGACTGCCTCCTCTGGTGGGTTTGAACCACTGACCTTTTTGTTAGCAGCCAAGTGCCTTAACCACTGTACCGCCAGAGTTCCTCCTTTATTCCCTCTTAGAGCATATAGATAACCATGTATCTGGTTTGCCTGGAAAAGCCCTAATTTATGCCTTTTGTCCCACTGTATTTATTACTATATATTCATTTATATCTTTTCACTTAAAAGAGTGTCTCTGCTTGGATGATAAATTATACGTTCACCGTATATGTATAAGGGAATTGTTTAACAGTGTATGGAAACAAAAAGAAAAACAACCCAAACTCACTGCCATTGAGTCATTGAGTTGGATCCAACTCATAGTGACCCCTCCTTGGGTTTCTGAGGCAGTATCGCTATGGAAGTAGATCGCCCCATCTTCCTTTCAAGGAGTGGGTGGTGGGTTTGAACCACCAGCCTTCTGGTTAGCAGTCAGATACCTTAGGCGCTACGCCACCAGAGCTCCTTTCATAGTGTATAGTAAATAAAATCATTTAATAATACCTTCAGAATTATGTACTTTTCTAATAGTGTGTTAACTTTCTATTTTCTTTCATATCAGGAGAATAAACTCTGGAATTCCTGATTTCAAGAAATTATATACCAAAGTATAATGCTACATAAATCAGAGAAAGAAAGGATCCTGAGCATATGGTAAGGAAGGAATAAATCAGGTGAATTTCCTTGGTTATGCCTTCTTTTTGTTCCTCCACTCCATTCTTTTTAGGTTATGATTTGGTAATAAGTGTAGAGAATATCCTTTTTGAAAGCAAAAAGAGAGATTTGAGTCAAAAGGATAATGCTAATATTTTAGAAATACTGATCTACATTCTTTGGGATATTTGGTCAGCTGTTAATTACTCAGCTATAGATTATTCCTTGGAAGGAAGGTTGGGCAATCCTACTTCCGTAGTGATACTGCCTCGGAAACCCAAGGAGGGGTCGCTATGAGTCGGGTTTGACTCGACGGCACATAACAACAACAACATAGATTATTCAGATTTGGGCTTTTTCAAGATAAATATTACTTTAAATTTTTTGTTTCCTTATCACTTGTTCTACTTATATAGAACTTTTATTAACGTTATCAACTGTTTATTTTTACTTAAAGAGAGACAGAATCTAGCAAACTTTTTGTAATTATATATCTTTAACAAAGGATATAGGACAGAGTAGAACGGTCTCATAGGATTTCCAAGGCTGTAAATCTTTACAAATGCACACTGTCTCCTTTTTCTCTGGTGGAGCAGCTGGTGAGTTTGAACTGCTGACCTTCTGATTTATTGGTGAATGCCTTAGCCATTGTACCAACAGAGCTCCTCCTGAAAGACTAAATTACTGTTACATATTTTAAGAAGCAGCACATGATACCTGCTAACAAAAGATAAATGAAGGAGGCCATTCAGTAAGCATTTGTTAAAGTATCTGTTTTATATTCAGAACAACACTCTGAATACTGTTTTACACACACATATACTTTAAAAATAAACAAACTTGATCAGTACAGAAGCAAACTGGGAAATCTGTTTTGTTTCTTGATTACTGCATCTGCTACTAGCTAAAGATCACAAGCATTCGCGTTAGCTCTTTTCATCTCATAATTTAATAAATTGAGTCTGTTACAGAGTCCTAGGTTTTTTATTTTGTTTTTTAATAATTCAAAAGGAGACTTTCATGTTAGGAATGAATGTAGCTACTGAGGTTGGATAGAAAGATGTTTTTGTTCATCTAAAGATGATGCCCAGAGTCCAGATTAGCATATTGTTGTGTTCTCCTGTGCCGATTGGTGAATTAAGTTGATCTTCATTTTATAGGGCTTTAATGCTGCTCTAGATCCAATTAAACAGAAGAAGGATGTGTACATATGTCAAAAATGAAGCTGTTTTTTGTACTTACCCTTATCCATTTCTTATTAACCATAAGTAAAACACCCATACCAACAAAACCCACATTGGACATACAGTGTTCTGGGAGATGCACACAAATATTGCATCTTACATAATTTAAAGATTTTCTAGAAATGTAGTGGAAGGTTTTGTTTAACATGAGCTCTTCAACACTGACATCACTCTCTTTCTTTTGCAGGCTTGATTGGTGGTAATAACATCGATAAGAGGCTGGCAGTTACTTCTGTTCTAACCATCTACTTCATAATTGTGAATATTAACTATGCATCTTTGTTGGCCAGCAAAACCAAGGAACAAGAGCGATGGCAGTTGAAAAAGTCTATCTAATTCCAGGGTATTTTTCCTGGGTTTCGTCATCAGAGACCTTCTCTTTTTCTTCTCAACGACAATGCAGTACCTTTTATTTTTTGAGGAAGATTAAGGAGATGTTCTTTGGTCAACAACCAGAACTTAAAATCTGCTGGAATAGAGTCAGAGACCATTTCAATTATAGCTGAGGAAAATGAAATTTCCATTTTATATGGTGCCTTGTACAGTCAACGTACTAACTCTTAAGAAAATGTATGAGTAAAAAGAGGTTGAATTTTTCCTATTAGAAACTCATGGTTATGGCGAGTGACCCAACGTGATCAGAGGGGGCAAGAGCCACAGAGGAACTCATGACGGGCTATACCATGTTACGGAATGGGGGAGTGGGGAATGGAGGTCAAACCTGTATGTTACGGTGGTCCAACCGTATTCGACTCACATGGCTCAGTTTTACACTTGTCATCATTCTGGTTTTTTTCCCACTCATTGCTCACTATTATCTCACCACTCTGGATGAGGCTGATGAAGCAGGCAAGCGGATTTTTGGTCCACGGGCTGGTAATGAACTATGTGAGGTAAAACATGTATTGGATCTTTGTCGCATTCGTGAGTCTGTAAGTGAAGAGCTCTTACAGCTGGAAGCCAAGCGACAGGAGCTGAACAGTGAAATTACCAAGCTGAATCTGAAGATTGAAGCCTGTAAGAAAAGTATTGAGAATGCCAAGCAGGACCTACTTCAGCTCAAGAATGTCATTAGCCAGACTGAGCATTCTTACAAAGAGCTGATGGCCCAAAATCAGCCCAAACTTTCTCTCCCCATCCGGTTGCTCCCCGAGAAGGATGATGTTGGTCTTCCTCCTCCAAAGGTCATACGAGGTTGTCGTCTGCACAATTGTTTTGATTATTCTCGTTGCCCTCTCACCTCTGGTTTTCCAGTCTACGTTTATGACAGTGACCAGTTTGTTTTTGGCAACTATCTGGATCCCTTGGTCAAGCAGGCTTTTCAGGCTACAGCAAGAGCCAACGTTTATGTTACAGAAAATGCTGACATTGCCTGCCTTTATGTGATACTAGTGGGAGAAATGCAGGAGCCGGTAGTACTGCGCCCTTCTGAATTTGAGAAGCAGTTGTATTCTCTACCCCATTGGCGGACAGATGGACACAACCATGTCATCATCAATCTGTCACGGAAGTCAGAGACACAGAATTTACTATATAATATCAGTACAGGCCGTGCCATGGTTGCTCAGTCCACTTTCTATGCTGCCCAGTATAGACCTGGCTTTGATTTGGTAGTATCTCCACTAGTCCATGCCATGTCAGAGCCCAACTTTATGGAAATCCCACCACAGGTGCCAGTTAAGCGGAAATATCTTTTCACCTTCCAGGGTGAGAAGATCGAATCATTGAGATCCAGCCTTCAGGAGGCCCGCTCCTTTGAAGAAGAAATGGAGGGTGACCCCCCAGCTGACTATGATGATCGTATCATTGCCACCTTAAAGGCAGTACAGGACAGCAAGCTAGATCAGGTTCTAGTAGAATTTACCTGCAAAAACCAGCCTAAACCCAGCCTGCCTACTGAGTGGGCATTGTGTGGGGAGCGGGAGGACCGCTTAGAATTACTGAAGCTTTCCACCTTTGCCCTCATCATCACTCCTGGGGATCCTCATTTGGTTATTTCATCTGGGTGTGCAACACGGCTATTTGAAGCCCTGGAGGTTGGAGCTGTCCCAGTTGTGTTGGGGGAGCAAGTACAGCTTCCTTACCAGGACATGTTACAGTGGAATGAGGCAGCCCTGGTGGTGCCCAAGCCACGTGTTACTGAGGTTCATTTCCTGTTACGAAGTCTTTCTGATAGTGATCTACTGGCTATGAGGCGTCAAGGCCGCTTTCTTTGGGAGACTTACTTCTCCACCGCTGACAGTATTTTTAATACTGTGCTGGCTATGATTAGGACCCGCATACAGATCCCAGCTGCTCCCATACGGGAAGAGGCAGCAGCTGAGATCCCCCATCGTTCAGGCAAGGCGGCTGGAACTGACCCCAACATGGCTGACAATGGGGACCTGGACTTAGGGCCAGTAGAAACAGAGCCCCCTTATGCCTCACCCAAATACCTCCGCAATTTTACTTTGACTGTCACTGACTTTTACCGCAGCTGGAACTCTGCTCCAGGGCCTTTCCATCTTTTTCCTCACACACCCTTTGACCCTGTGTTGCCCTCAGAGGCCAAATTTTTGGGCTCAGGCACTGGATTTCGGCCTATTGGTGGTGGAGCTGGGGGTTCTGGCAAGGAGTTTCAGGCTGCACTTGGAGGCAATGTTCCACGAGAGCAATTCACAGTAGTAATGTTGACTTATGAGCGGGAGGAAGTGCTTATGAACTCTTTAGAGAGATTGAATGGCCTCCCTTACCTAAACAAGGTTGTGGTGGTGTGGAATTCTCCCAAGCTACCATCAGAGGACCTTCTGTGGCCTGACATTGGCGTCCCTATCATGGTAATAAAAAAATGAGCAGTTGGTTTTGCTGCATGAAACAATGTTTCACTCTTAAACCTTTTCCCATCTTTCTTATTTGCTTTAGCAATCCTAACAGGAGGAAAAAAGTACAGATATATCCCACACACGTGTGTGTATATTTATGTATTCACATGTTTGTATTTATATACGTGTGTGTGTATATATATACATATATACATATATATATATATATACATATATACATATATATATATATATATATATATATATATATATATATATATATACATACATATATATATATATTTTAAACCTGTATGGATAATTTTCCTCATGAAATTTTTGCTTGTTTCTCTTCTCTCTTGCCAGCTATAAACTTCCCTAAATTTCAAGAGATCTTCCAAAACTAAAAATGATACTAGCCCTGTGAAGTTTTACAAAATCTCTTCAGTTATTCTATGTACATTTTCCATTTCATAACAAGATGTTGATGATGATAAAGCTAACATTTATGAAGCACTTATGATAATTATAATAAGCATTATAATTATCATTTTATATTTGTGAAAACTGAGAGACGTTAATTAATTTACCCAAAATTACAGTTAATAATGGAGGTGCTGGATTTCAGTACATCTGATTCCAGAACTGCAGTTTTAGTAACCTCCTAAAAGGATTCAGGAAGAAGACTAGTGTTATTTACTAGGATATAGGCTTGTTTTGGAAGAATGGAATGAGAGTTTGATATTTAGGGGGTGGAAATCCTGAACCTTCTGAAGAGTCTCTTGGAAATTTTTTTCTCCTTCTATACTCTTGTCTGTCATGGTTAGGATGCTGTATTTTTCAGAAAAAATAATCAAATATACATGGTGGCATTTTAGTTCTTTTGTTCACCCACCTGCTGAACTAAATTTAGCAATCTAAAAGGAGGCCCGATACCCACCTTTTTTTTTGTAAATGAGAGGCTGTAGAGCAATAAGCAAACTGCCATCTATTGACCCTGCAACATAGGTACTTTAGAGAAAAAAATTGCAGAGAAGGGCAAAAGGTCTGATGGGCTGTGTATAGCCAGAAGTTTACTTAAGGAAATTAGTAAATCTTTTTAGGGAAGATATGTCTGGAGGGGCTAGTTTAATTTCATAAAAAATTATTTCATCAAGAAATTAGTTCATGTGAAATACTTTCAAAAACTCAGCATAGTCTGATGGAAAAAGTACACGTTTTGGAGTGGTACAGACCTGGGTTTAAATAGCCATCTTGGGATGTTTGATAAGTTATTATCTTTGATCTTAGATTAAAGAAGAGTCTTAAATGATACAAGTAAGGACTCTGAAAAGGTACTCAATAATTATTTGACTCCTACTTCTTCATATCAAAGGAGATGGAAACCAGTATGTATCTAAATATTACACAGTAAGGAGCCCTGTGGCACAGTGGTTAAAGCACTCAGCTGTTAACCGAAAAGTCAGCGGTTTGTACTCACCTGGTGTTCCACAGGAGAAAGATGAGGCAGTCTGCTTTTGTAAAGATTTACGGCCTTGGAAATTCCATGACAGTTCTACTCCATCCTGTAATGTCACTGTGAGTTGGAATTGACAGCAGTGGGTTTGGTTTATTCTTTTGGGTATTGTGTACATTTAATGAGGAAGATGTGAGTTGGTACCATCTCCCATACCCTAGATCTTATCCTAGCTGTAGAGCTTGAATTACCTTTGTTGTTGTTAGTTCCGACTCATAGTGACTCTTTGTGCAACAAAGCAAAACAATGCCTGGTCTTATGCCAAACTACATTTGAACTAACTTTATTGATAATTAGAAAGACTAACTTTACCGATACTTATCTTATAGCTGTTACTACTTACTTTCTATTATACAGAGTATCTAGCAATATTTATTTATGCTACTGCTGCTAATCTGTGTTTTATTACTGAATTAGATTTATAGTCTGAGGCTATTCTAAAAACTACTGAGTGCAGAATTTATTTTGTGTGTTAACAAAAGTTTTATAAATGGGGAGTTTTCTTTTAATAGCCTTTAAATAAATTTCACTTTTTTCCTTTCTCAATTACAATTTTGTGGATGTCATTAAAATTTTTTTAAAAAAGCATTTATTTTGTGAAAGGTACATACTGTTTATAGAGTAGCATAATAAAGCAGCCTTTCCATTTTTCTTAGTTTTCTTAGAATTTTTTAGGGATCTACAAAGGCTGGTGCTGGCCCAGGTTAACAATGACCGAAATTCATCAGATAACTTACCAGAACTAGTATAACTTCATTTGGAGTAAGTAGTCCTCTTTGATTACTGTGCAGGCTGCTGAAATAACACAATGCCTAGCTGAAAAATGCTAGAAGCTTTCCAAATAAGAAACCATTCTGAATAGCTTCCTCATATTAAGAATATAAGTTTTTTTTTTTTTTTCTAGTTCTTCTAAACAAGAGCAAATAATTTAAGCTGGAGAATCTCACTTTGTTCTCTAAATATTTTGACTGCTTTCTTTTTAAGAAAGGCATTGTTCTGAAATTGCTGACCTTTTGTGCATAGAGCCAACACTACCCAAGCATCAGGGCTATAGAGAACCTGTAGTAAATTGGCACTTACTAATATATCTCAGAGCAGCTTTCCCACCCAGATGCAGGAGTAACCCTCATTGGGATAGGTTCACAGGTTTGTATAAAATTTATAAGTAGGGAGGTTCCCAGGCAATCTCTTAAGATTCCATTCCTGCAAATAAAATGATTTGAAATCAGCATATTGGCCAAATGAATCAACCCAGGAACCTAGATGCCGTCAGAAAATGCTGGGCAATTTGTATTTATGCTCAGGTTCCCAACTAGGCAATAGACATAAATTATAGGTATTTATGAACTGTGAATCTTTTGAGCCATAGATGTTCAAGTAATGAAGTACTATTAGGGCCTCTAATAGGATTTAGATATTAAAAATTCTCATTACCCACCCCCTTTTTCTATATCACAAAGGGAAAAAACTATTATCAGGTCTGGCTTAGAGTGAAGGTGGTCTTTATTGCCATCATCCTTGCATGTTCCTGACCCAAATAATCTATGAAAGAGGACTCGAAAAGAGAAAAAAAATAAAATAAGCTCCAGTTCAAATGGGTAAGTGCCTGAGCAAGGTGACAGGATTCTCAGAAAGGAGGGGGATTATTGTTGAAGTAGATCTGTCATCTGAATGGTGCAGGGCTGAACAGCGGTGGCAATGGTTGATGACTGCTCTATCCGTCTCTTGCCTATTTTGTAAACAGTTGAATCAGATTCCTTAGCTCCTGGAGTATAAACACAAAATCTAATGAAAGTCTGTTAGACAATATTATTGTGCCAAGGCTTTTGAAATCTAGGCTTTTGGAAAACTTCCCACTAGCCTGGAGACCACCACTTTCATGGTAGTTTAAGTATGTTGTTTCTCTGTTTTCAGTCCACCGTTGTTTCTGATGATGTATCAATGGTTATTTAAACTGTTCCTTCCTCTACGTGTGATGTGTCATTTTTCTCTGGCTGTTTCAAGATGATTTTCTTCATATTTGGTGTTCATTAGTTTGATTAGGACATGTCTAGGCATGATGTTCTTTGATTTTTATTCTGGTTCGGCTTTTTAACTTTTTATTGTGATTTGGGTGAAATTTTACAAAGCAGATTTGTTTTACATTCAACAGTTCATACACATTTTGTTTTCTGACACTGATTACATCCCCTTCACACTTTGTCCCTTTGGTTGGTTACTCCTTAACTCTGTCTTCTGGTTCCTTGGGCCAGAAAGACTGGATTTTATTTGAGTCTTAGCTACCTTGTGTGGTACCAACTCTGGCTTGCTGTCAGGGTAAAAGCAGTAGTAACTCTCTTTCCTCCTTCTAAATTTTAGTTTCCCTTCATAACCTTCCACCTTTTGTTCACTCTCTGGTACCTTCAGGTAATTCCCTTTTTGGTGTTTTTATCCAGAGTTTATAGTTGTCATTTGCAGGAAGATTGGATCTAGTAGGAGCTTATTTGGCCAAACCAGAAGCAGAAACCTCCACTTAGTGCCTTTTTTATATATAGCCCCACCAAAAATTTTAGAGTTACTGCTTTTTTCTGATCAGGTAATACTTGTTTTCCTCATACTGCTTTAAATTCTGGAGAAGAATAATAGGTACGATGGTGGCCTTGTTGGAGCATTGTGTGGTAATGAGAACCTCAAAATCTGTCCTTTGGGCAAGGTGCTAGGAAGGCCTCTTTGAAGAGGTGACATTTGAATGATATGGGGCCACTTAAATTCTGGAGGAATATGCAGAGAATGACAACTGCAAGAAGTTTGTCATATTCAAGTAATGGCAAGAATACCTACTGTATCTGGTGGAGTGATTGAGGGGGAGAGATTGAAAGGAGGTTGGAGAAGAAGGCAGGGGCTAGGAAATACGGGGGCCTGGACATGTAGGGCCCTGATAAGGAGCCCAGATAGTATCCTAAATATGTTAGGAAGCCATTGGAGAGTTGAGCCGTTGAGAGTGAAATGTGTGTAACTGTAGGGAAAGAGAAGGAACTCTGGTGGTGTAGTGGTTGAGGCATTTGGCTACTAACCCCAAGGTTGTTGGTTCAAACCCACCAGGTACTCCACAGGAGGAAGATGAGGCAATCTACTCAGGTAAAGATTTACAGCCTTGGAAACCATGGGGGACGTGGTTGATGGCAGTATCACTTCACTCACATAGAGAAAGAGTGGAAACAGTGAAAAGGCTATTACAGTTGTTCAGATGAGAGGTGATAGTGTTGAACTAGAATAGTGGTGGAGATGGTGAGTTCAGAGAATACACATATCCTATATCACAAATATATAGCACAAATGGGAGCTCTGGTAGCATAGTGGCTAAGACACTTGCCTGCTAACCAGATGGCTGGCGGTTCAAACCCCCCAGCCACTCCTTGGAAGGAAGGTTGGGCAATCCTACTTCCGTAGTGATACTGCCTCGGAAACCCAAGGAGGGGTCGCTATGAGTCAGGTATGACTCGATGGCACATAACAACAA